TTCACCATCTTAGCATGATAGATTGTGTGATGTTTAAGTTAAGCATCACAAAGTACTTAAGTGTGTTTAGTGTAAACTATGCTTGTCTTGCTTGCTATTTTGTGATGCGTCTCATGGTACTATTCTTCATATTTATGCACTTGTATATTGCATCTCATCTAGGTACGGTAGATGCACCACGTGAAGGATGCGATGATGGAGTCAAATTCGAAGATTTGGTTTGGTGGATATATCCCGAAGATGGAAGGACTAAGCAAGTATTAGGACCGGAGATGTCACCAAGACTGTGCAAGCTAACTGAACTGACTTGTGTTGGATCCCAGGCAAGCCCCGGAGCATTATAAGCCTCCCATGTTTTTACAAATATATTGAGTATCTCTTATTGTTGATGATGCATTAAATATAGGAATTGGTTGGAACCAATTATTGCATTATATCCCTACCTTGTCCAGATAAAATCCTGTGAATCCTAATTAAGTGTAGGATCGAATGATGCTTAGCTATGCATAGACCGGTAGAAGTCGGGTGATTTCCTATCACCTGAGAGATGTAGGATGAGCTCTGGTCACGGTTGGCTATATTTGCTATCATGAAAAAGAACCATGTGTTAATAATGAAAGGAGACCGGACGGGATGATGGTAGTGCAGCAACAAGGCATGGAGGTCTTGGGTGTGAATCTATCCCCGTCTGTGTCGTTTAAGGACCGATACGCTGTACGTCCTCATGTCATGTTGAACGCAGCCTAACACTTAGCTGGCTGGATAAGTCGTTCCGACCGCGAAGCCTAGTAGCTCGACTCAGGCCAGGGACGCGAGCAGTGGCGTGCATTCTGGAGGTAGTAAGGATGTGTGGAGAGCCATTGGCATAAGTCCAAGGCGGGTTAGAGTCCCGAACAACCTTGGCAGAGTGGTTCTCTAAGAATGTCGATCTGTTCGAACTCGCGACTCCTGAATCATACCAAAGGTGACTCGTTTACGACCCTGATGGGGGAAGCAGGGTTTGTGTTTAGGAATACCCCTCCAGCTGGATAGGAATCGATTCGAATCGCCGTCTCTCCCGGATAGTGAGAACTTGACTGAGCAGCGGCAACGTAGATTCACTAAATTTAAAGATATGGTTAAATGATGATGATGATGATGATGATGACAATGAGCTATGAAATACCTGATATGGTTATTATTGTTTGCAATTTAATCAAGTGGTTGATTAGTACAGGTGCTAATATAGATGGTAGTTAATGGCTAAAAGTCACTGCTAGTACAGGTGAATAATGCTAATGGTTACCCAAGCTTTTATGCAAAAAGGTTGTCCAGCCAGATCCACTAAATTAAGCTATGCATGATCCTTGGTGTCATTTGTTTTGGTTTTCGACGGGTAAGTCTGGCTGAGTACATTCGAGTACTCAGGGTTTATCCCACCTTGTTGCAGGTGAAGTTCTCGACCTATTGATGATGGTGGCTAACCGCCGGTGGGCTCGGTGATTCTATACTTACTTCTCATCTATATGCTTTTATCTGATGATGCCACTTATGCTAGCATTATATTTGGAACTTATATTAATGTAATCATTTGAAAGCTATGTTGTTTCCACTAAACGGTTTTGAAACCCAAACTTGTACTATTATTTGTGAACCCATTTTTATATTATTTCCGCTGCAACCCTGTGTATGTGATGTGTATTTGCTTAATCCCGCGATCTTAGTTGTGATGTTGATTTACCGAGGTCTTTCGGGACACTCGGCGGACTACCGGGTTTATATGAGTGAAAGTATACACATGTCAACGTGTTAGCGGGGACAACCGTACTTGATCTTGTATAAATTGGGCGGTTCTGTTACACTGCGCCCCTGCAGGAAAGTACCGTTAGGACATGACAGGACCGGTGCTTAGACCCTTCCAGGCGTAAGAGATCCTAAATAGTGTTGCAGGCGCGTACTCTTCGCCCTACAGTGTTGTAGGCGCCGCCTTCAACCCACCAGGCGAACAACCCGACACGGATATACGACAACCACTACACCTCAAGGAGAGACTCCTGTCCTCTACAATGGCAGAACAAGCAGTCACCGCGACATCCGCTCCCTACGGGGTTGGGGTTCAGCAACCCTGTCCGACACGCCGCCCGTAGGGGCAGGATGGGACGCACCCACTTGGTACAAGAGGCCAGGGCATGGCCTACGAAAATCAGCGAACACAACATTTCTGACACTGTCTGCCATGTTATACAGGGCAGGCGCTGGGAAAAAGGAATACCCGAATCCTTCGAAGGACCTTCTATACCCTTGGTGTTTTTCTCTTTCTCCCATCTGTAACCCCTGCTCCCCCTTTGGTCTATAAAAGGGAGGGCAGGGCTCCCCACTGGGGGGAGGGACCAAAAACAACGCAACACACACACATAGTCAAGCTGCTGCCAAGCTCTTGGCTTCCTTTCGACCCTTCCATCAGAGACTTGGGACCTGTCCCTCTCTCGATCGTTTGTATCCCCTACTACGAATCATTCACGGTGCTAATAACACGAGCAGCAACAAACTGGACGTAGGGATATTCAGCCCGAACCAGTATAAATCTTGTGTTCTTTAGCGCACCATCCGAGCCTAACACGTATTACTATAAATTTACTTGCCGGTGCTTGTACGAAACACCGACAGGTATCATCCCATTCCATCATGTCTCTAAATCAAATGCGATCCTAGAAGTTGAGAGATGGAGAGGATATGCTGAAAAGGTGGGAAAGAAATTCAGATGCTAGATTCCTGCAAAATGCTCGGGTACGATGGGCTTCCTCACAGTCACAGCTGCTACGACTACAACGAATCACTGTAGCAAATACTGAAACAGTTGCTGCCGAGCAAGCTCAAACGAACAGACTGGTGGCTGGATATCCTAGGGTGTGTTTGTTTGCATGGAAGGCACCTAGAGACAGGCTCTAGAGATACAAGGTCGCTTGTTTGTTTGCGTGGACTTTGTTGGAGCTTGTACAGCACAGAATCCAAAGCACCCTTGGGCAAGACTGGGAGGAAATGAAAGTGAACTTTGTTTCTCCTGGGCGCAGCTCGCTCGGGCCCCGATGCCGGCGATGGTGGATGGTGGGTGTGGCTGACATGTGGGTCCTCCAGCGTAGCGCAGGCAAACAAACAATATCAGTACTCACCAGGCCCACTAAATACAAGTCCACCAAACAACAAGGAGTTGCACCCATCTAGCTTGTCTGAGAATACCCAGGATCTACTCGTCCGTTCAGGCTAGCTCCGACCAGGCAAACAAACGAGCCCCTAAATTTCTGACTTTTCTTCCCAGATACTAACAATGCCAACCATCCACGCAGTATTTTTTCTAGCTGTAATTTTGTATCAACATCTGGCGCCCAAGTTAATTGTTGACAGTGAATACCAAAAGCTCAGGAGGCCTCGAGCAGGCTCGTCGAGGCTGGGGCAGAGGAAGCGCACTGCGAGCCAGCGTAGGGGGGGCTATATATAGCCGTCCAATAGAAGGCCAGAAGCCGCGGCACGAAAACCAAGAGGCACGGCACAAAAACCAAGAGGCGTCGGAACTAGCTGTTACCCCACGCGTCGCGTCCATTCGATTTCAAAACAGTAGAAATAATAAAATAAATATGTAATAAATAAACGATATACCAATTTCAAGAAAATAATGCCCCACGAAAAATAAAATCAAACAGAGCATAATCAGCTAAGAGTTTCGCACCTTGGGGCAAGGCTCCGCTGGTCGAATCATTGGCGAAACACGGCGCCCACTTTCGACGCAAGTGGCGAACGGGGTCGCCGAAGGGCTAATGTTGGGGGAGGCCTTAAGGACTAGCCCCCCTTACCTCTCCTACTGGTCGACCAGCATTTAGCTCGCTACGGACGGAAGCCCTCCCGACGAAACAGGTGGCGAAACCCAGCGACGAAACATGTGGCGAAAGCCAGCGACGTTTTCACTCGGCTTGCGCCATAAGGGCGCAAAAGCTTTCGACCAACGTTTCGCCCGCTCGAGCCGAATGACGCATCGGCGATCCCTACGGCGAAAGGCATGAACAGCTTTCGCCAGCAAGTGATCAGTAGCAAAGTGCGGTATCTGGAGGAGCTTTTCGGCGTGCCAGTAGCTAATCGTTGTGGAGTGGTGCGATTGCTTGCAGGTTTTTCGTCGCTCCATGGCCCGTCATCCTGCCAGGAGGGCCCGGCGGGCGCCTTCCAGGGGGGCCCGGACGGAGGGGACCCCACCTAAAGGAGGGGGACGCTATCCGAGGCAGGCCAAATGCGGGCTGGACCAAAGACGCCTCCGGAGAAGAGGAATATACCCGAGCATCGTAGTGGTTAGGAGGGCATTATGGTCCTTGTAAAAAGATACGGATGTGTATAAATAGAGCTCCGCAGGAGCTTTGTAAAAGGGATGATGGAACCCAAATTCCTAGATCAATATACATATACCTTTTGTTCCCACCTGTGTTCCTTTCTGTACCTTTCGTCCGATATCATTGTGCATTCGATAGTTTGAGCAGCGGCATGGTGTTCAAAGGCTAAGGCCTAGAACAACACATATCAATTACGTTGACAATGTGGTGCTCAGTACTACACACTACAGTAGTAGATTCCTCTCGGTTTGTCATTTTTACTGCACAAAAAGAAACTGTCGTTTGGGGTAACGCAGCAAAGCCCAACAAATAAACGGCTTAGAGTCATTTGGGATACTGTACCACAGCAAAGTTCATTTTATCAAGTAAGGCTCGTGAACACACATTATCAATAGGAACAGTGTTTCCAAACTTACTACGGAGTAGTTACTACCAAGCGAACCATATTGCTCTTCAAACAATGAAAAGGCTCACACACATCGCGCTTCATTACCATGTATTTATTCATTTATTTGAACACCTGACTTCAGAACTCCATAAAAAAAACTCAGAGTACACAAAGTTTAGGCGAAAAAAATGAATTGAATTAGGTTACTGTATGAAAAAAAAATGGTGAGAGGTCCCTTGCTAGTGGAAACAACGGCAAAGTCAGGCGAAAACGAGCATGAACCTAGCGCACAGCATCTTGAGACAGAAATACACGATGTTGACGCCGAACTGGAGCGTGCCGCAGGTCAAGGCCTTCGTGAGCCACACCATCCACCTGAGCATGGGCGGCCACAGCGGCGAGGCGAGAACCGCCGCCCGTGAGAGCGCCATGTCCACGAACAGAAGGGCCACCCCGAGCATGGCGAGCACAAAGTTTGCGAGCTGGTAGTACCTCTGCTCCGTGTCGTCGTCGTCGCACGGGCGGCCGCCGCCGGTGCAGAGGCAGAGCTCCAGGACGGGCGGCGAGAAGAGGCCGTTGATGGCCCCGAACAAGATCGCAGACTTGGCGGTGCGGAGGTCGCCCAACGGCTGCATGCCGGGGACGCCCGGTCGGAGGAAGTTGAGCGCCATGCAGCGGCCGGTCGATCAGGGCGACGCCGAAACGTCGCGACTCGCGAGCGATGTCTGTTCGAGGAAGAATGAAAAGGAATCGTCGTTGGGCTTGTTGATTGTTGGCCGTGCTTGCGAAGTGGCAGGGCAGCAGGAGCCCTTTTGTAGTTCGTTGCAAGTCGTTGCCATCCTTAGGTCAGGTCTCGCTCGCAGCGTGGGGTTCGACGGAGATTTGGCCGCGTGGACGCAGGTTGTTGCTGTTGCTCCGTTCCCGTAAGTTACGCGGCTAAGTTTTGAGGTGCTTCTGTGGCATTTCTCACCTACGACTTGGCTCCTCGTATGTGCAGTAAACAAGCACCAAGTGTCCAATAGTCCATGTCATTGCGATCCGCGCTAGGCTGCCGGAAGGGCGAGAGTGACAGCGAACTAGCGAAGTAGTTGTTGCTGCAGGCGCTCTTCTATATGAGCGCCATGGATGGCAGGTTCTGGTCGAGTTCATTCATTCCGCGGCGTGTGGTTGGATGGAGTTTTGTCCGCGTAGGCGTAGACATGGGACGTACACGTACGCCGTGCCCCTCACGTCCGTTACGGGGAGCGTGCAGTGACGCGGCTGATAATTTTCAACCTTGAAGTTTTCATCCCCTTGTGTGGCATCACTTGCTCCTCGGCCACTCGTACTTCGTACAGGAACGTTGCTGGGACTGGAACTTTTCTGTTGCAAATCAAGCGGCAAGTCAGTCATTGCGTTACCGCGCTTTTAGCTGCTTACTTGGTCTATGCACATTGTTTTAAAAAAAGAAAAAAAAGACAAAATTAGGGTATAGAAAGGGACGCGACAACGAGAGGCAGTGGCGGACCCAGTGGGTAGTTCAGGTAGGTCCAGGACTACCCACAAATTTGGCCCAAAATTCTATTACTACTCTTCAGAAACCGGCCCATGGTCAGTCTCGTCTCAGCCTATGCCGAAGACACCGCAAATCCATGAGCTCTTCAAAAAATTAACGCGCTCGAGAGGGATCAAACCGGAGACCTCCTGTCTCGGGCTGCAGCGCGCTTACCAGTCCAGCTACGAAAGATTGTTGGATAGATGATACCCGCGATCTTATTTAATAAGGAAAAACAGGAAAAAATACCCCTTAATTAATCACTCCTTGATATGCGAAATCATATCCTAAACGACTTTCTTTACCAGTATGGAGGGAGTATTTATGTAAGTTTCGAACCTTTTAAATGTATTATCGTAATTTGGTTAATTTATAGTTATGTTTGCTGAACTTTTTGTTTGAATTTTATAGTATTACATATAAGTTTTTTTTATTAGGACTATCCTGGTCTGGTATCCTGGTCCGCCACTGACGAGAGGTCCCAGTCCCAGTCCACCATCGATGTCGATGCCCAACGCGACAACTAGTGGCACGTCACTGGCTAGGTTGGCCGCGTCGTCACTCGGCGCGGCGCGGCGCGGCGGGCCAGGTATTCTGCGACTGCGAAGGCCGAGAGCGGTGCGCCCCCACGCCTCTGCTCGCGTCGCGTCGCGCCGAGCATGCACAGACGATGGTTTTCCCGGCCCACGCACTGTCCACGCCGCGACCCGTGTGCCAACCCAATAGCAAACACTGTACCGCTGCTCCGATCCGCTCAGCACCTGATCGCCCTAGTAGTGGTCGCTATCGCCCACTCCAGATTTTTGCGCTAGGAAGCTAGATTGAGACAAAGACATTATGTTCTGTCGTTACACAGTTGGATATTTGGTTACCTGGAAGCTTTGGAACCACGCGTTCTCATCATCTCCAAGCCACCAACAGGGGGGTGTTTAGTTCACCCCAAAATATAAACTTTGGCACTATAAAAAAAGAAGATTTTCCATCACATCAAACTTGCGGTACATACATAGAGTACTAAATGTTGACGAAATCAAAAACTAATTGCACAGTTTGGTTGTACTTTGCGAGACGAACGTTTTGAGTCTAATTAGTCAACGATTGAACAATTATTACCAAATACAAACGAAACGCTACAGTACCGCTACAGTAGATTTGGCGGCGCCGATTCAGGCAACTAAACGAGGCCCAAGTACTACTACTACTGAGCAGCCAAATCGTTGCAAAAAAAAAAAAGCGTACCCAGTGCAGAGAGCTCCCGCTCTATGTGGGGTCTGAGGAAGGGTGTCAGTGGCAGTGGCAAGCCTTACTCTCGCCTATGCAATGCGATGAGATCGTGACTCGAACCCAGGACCTTCCGGTCACATGCGGTAAGACACCAGCAAAATCGTTGTCAAAAAAAAAAAAAAAAATATTGACACGCGGCGCCAACAACCGCTTTGATAATAGACTAGACAAATTTTCTGCACTGTATATGTATATAGTTCCGGTGGATCAACTATAGGCGATAGCGACCTCCAATGATTGATATTATATACTAAGTAAAACACTGAACATTTTTCACAGTAAAGATTAAAGAACATTTTATATAAAATAACCTTTACAAGTTTACTTCTAACAACAAACGAGTAGAAACTAGAAGATGATGAATTCTAATGCTATGCTGCCGTACGTCATTTGCGCTGCTTAATTTGTGATTAACCTATCCAGTTCCCGACACGATCGAGTACACAACTAGCGAGACAAGTGCTACACGCATGCCCATTGCCCTGCAGCACACGCCCTTCCAGTACGTCCTCACTCAGTTCCTCACGGTTACACCTTGAAGATCTTGAAGAAGACGCAGAGGTTGTGCGCAAACGCGTTGATGGCGACAATCTCCGTGACAACGGTGAGGTGGTCGACGGCCACCTGCTGGACGAACGGCCCCGGCGGGTGCAGCGCCACCGCGGTAATATCTGAAACTATATGCATGGCGTCTCACTTCTGTATCATCTCGACAACCTTGAAGAAAATGCAAACGTCATGCGCGAACGCGGTGATCGTGACGGTCTCCGTGAACCGGGTCAGATGTTCGACGGCCAAGTCGACAATCGGACGACGCCGCTGAGCATGCGGGTGCAGCGCCACCGCGGCGCCACCGAGGACCATACCGAGGAACAGCGCGGCGGAGTTGAACCACAGCGCCCTCCCCTCCATCGCCACTTCCGCCGGGCAGCACTGCTGGCCGCCGGAGCCGGAGCACTGCTGCATGCTGGATACCAGCAGCACGAGGCCGGCGAAGGCCACCGAGACGGCGCACTTCGCGGCGCGGGTTGCCGGCGTCACGTCGTCGTTGCCCGCGAGGACGACGGCGCGCGCGTTCACGGGGAGCGCGAAGGGGAGGTACCGGCCCACCAGGAGGATGCCGGAGAAGGCGACGAAGAACGGCAAGTCCATGCTAGCTTTTGCTGTATTTGGGCGCTGGTGGCCGGCGTTCGGTTGGTGGTGGTTCGTGATGCGCACAAGGTATACGCCACTAATATATAGTACACCGGTTTTTTCAGAATCCGATTTCTCTGATGATAAACGACTACCGCGTAAGGTAGAAGACGACGAGCGAGGAGACCTCGACGAGGTCGTCGCTTCGTCGTGGTTACCGCGGCGGGGAATGCTATTAGTTCTCTGAGTGGTCTTGGTCCCTGTGGAGTGGAGAATGCTCAAGCTGGTTCTAGAGTTGACTTGGATGAAAATGTAGTTTGTGCTCAAGATCTTAATGGTTAGTTCCTATTTTTTATGTTGCATTCTCTTTATCAGTAAATTGCACCTTTGTAATTCTGCAATTGTAGTATTTGAATTGTGCAATATGACTTTTTTTATTTCATTTAAGTTTCAGTCTTCTTTATTGTCTTATATTTTTTTTGCTGGAAAAGCACCTGTCAAGGAACCTTGTCTGAAGACGAAGACTCTATTCTTTCGTAGCCCTAGTGTACCTTCGTTCAGAATGTTTGAAGAACTAGATGACTTAGGAAATTATGTTGCAGATCCTAACTTGAGGTGCCCTGTTGGTACAACTTGTGATACATCTTGTCCTCTTGATAGAGCGTTGTCTATGGTATATGTCCTCTTCCATCTTGTTTATTCTTCCCATGCTAAGTCATTATATATTATGTATATGAAATTTTATTTATTCTTTATTGCTGCAGTTGAGTAGAGTTTCTACTTCAGGTCAGAAAGTTGGTGCTAATATGTCCCATGGAGGTGTCCCTGGAAATGTATGTTGTTTTGTTTCTGTAGATGCCAAGTAGTTTTTGATGTACAAGGAATGTTTTCCCAGCTGATTTAGTTTCATTTTTTCATAGGTTGAAACCAAAAGCAACTTGAACTTGAAATCTAGGTCTGCATCTAAAGAATGGGTTTTTGTTGATAAACCGACGTCTCCTAGAGGTGGTAATGTGAGCAATGAGGAGACCATTGGCACTGGAAATGCTGGGACTAAGATAGATGGGAATGTTGAAAATGTAATCCTCCCTATTGCATTATATCGATTTTGTATTGTGATGTAACTTTTGATCTCTCTGGTCTTATTTCTGTATTTATTGTTGTTTTAGGACGTTATCCGTATGGAGTCTTTACCTTTTACTGAATATTCTGAGATCGAAGAAGATCCAAGTCAACCTGTTCCTCTTGCTGCAGTCAATCCTTATGGAGATCCTATAAAAATTGTAAATAGGCGTACCTAATCTTATCATTCTGGAAAGTTTGTGGTGGGAGATAATGTGATGGTGCCTGCTTCCTTTTGCTTTATCTTTTTTGGAGACATGGTAGTAGAAGGGGAAGTAGTTAGTACAATGCTACATGGTAGCAGTTGGGGTTGCTTTTGGATCATGTAATAGCTTGTATAAGTAGTTGTAGTAATGTTCATACTCTTGCGAACCAGTACTAGTGTTGTATATATATTTGGAATAAATGCCCCCTTATTTTTTCTTTGTAAGTGTATCGTATTGTGTTTGTGTGATTTTTTGTGATGTAGTTTTAGGATATATTGAAATTATTAGATCCTTGCTCTAACACTATTAGTTTTTCCATTTTTCGAACAATTTTATGTGTTCCTTGTTGTATGTTTTGCAGACACCTATTCAATCACGTCTTCCATCCCATCATGAAAAGTCTGTGGTTGGTGGGCCTTGCTTGTCTGCAAAGTCTATTGGCAGCAATGGATTTGTATTGAACTCTGAGTCGTCCAGTGAAGTTGTTTGGCAGTCTTCGAGTTCAATGGTTGCTATTCATCATCCTAGACGGCTTGCGAAGCCCAGCATGTACAAGATCAGCCCTTTTATCATCCCTCAATTCAAGATTAGTGTGTCCAAACTTGAATCTGATGTGTATGAAGCTGTTTTGAAGATGGGAGAAAGCAGCGAACACTTGAAGTAAGTTTGAAATTTACACAATTTTCCCATTCTTAGCCTTCTGCAGCACCGTGTGTTAATACTTGTACCAATTCACTGTGAATTGTTTTGTTTTTGTGTTTGCAGTCTAAAAGTGGTGGATTATGGGTTTGTTGTTGTCTTGTTGAGTGCACTTTCATCTTCTCTTCGGCCTGGCGGAAAGGTCAACCATTTTGTAGTGAACGCATTTTGCAAGCTGCTGTTCCTTAGAAAACACCCCAGGGATTCTAGAAAGCATTACTTCTTCTCTAAAGTTGGGGTTAGTAGTCGTTGATGTATTCTTCGTAAACTATATGTTTGCACTATATGGAAATAATATCGGTCAATTTGTTATTGTAGGATTATCTTATTGAAAATCATGGTCGTGATGATGAGAAGGAGAAGGAGCTATTTGAGACTGCTGTGAGATGCTTTAAGGGTGCTCATCGTGCCAGGCCTTTAACATTCAGCGACTATGTGTGTAACATATCTTCTCTATTGTTTGAAAAAGAGTACTAGCATAAATGTTGTGTTCTAGTCCTACTATGTGATGTTACTAATAATCACAATGTTTGTTATTTTGTCAGCTCTATTTTCCAATACTCTTCCATGATCGGTGGTATGTTGTTGTACTGTATTTTAGCCTGAGATGGTGTATAATCTTGGATTAATGCACAGTGTGCTTTGGAGTAGACTCAGCTTTCCACAAAGCTGTGAAAGATGAATTTGTAAGTATCAGTTTGTATTTGTATATGCACCATTTGTCTATTTTCAGTATTGCAGTGGCAGTTTTTTCCCATTATTTTCAGTGCTACAGTAGTTTACTATATCCTTCATCGAAACAAATATTATTTTGCATGGTGTAGTCATTTTCTTTTTGCATGATTTGTAGCTAGACAACTTGGCCACCGTCTGGAAACAAGTTGTTAATATCGACTATGGCTTACATGCATTCCATGTCTTCTTTGGAACTGTACCCCAGCAATCTGATAAGTATGTGATTGAAATGTAGTCCTTTGATTTATATAGATCATGTGGATTTTGTTTGTACTTATAGTCCCATTATTTCCTGTTTTTCCCTTTTTGTTTTTCTTTTTTCAGCATAATCAATAATAGCGGTGTGTATGCTATAAAGAATCTAGAGCATTTTGAAGTCCATCTGAATATGTTGGAGAAGTACACCGAAGATGATATTAGTCAACTTCTCATCAAACTTGTTAATGACATGGTTTTCAATGAATACAATAGTGCATATGATGGTACATGCAAAGTGAAGGAGGTAATATTAGTTCCAACGTCACTTTGTTTATTATAACTTCACGTTTTTGAATCTGATTGTTTGTTTCTATTTTTTTCTTTCTCAGGTCTGGCAATTTGAATCAGGGAGCATGATTTGAGGCTTGTCTCTAGATCTTGCGTTTAGGTCAATATAGGGTGTAGGTTCTTGCTATGATGCATGCCACTTTGTAAAGAAGTAGCTAGTTTGGTGAGAACATTTGATGCTAAAGTGGTTGTAAATTTTAATATACATTGAAGAGGCTAAAGTTCTCTGCTCAAACCTCTCCTTAACCTCCGCATCCCACTCCTTCAGGCCTTCTAGATGCTGCTTGTCCGACTCTTTGATCTCAGTGTCAATCCACTGCTCAAAGTCACACAGTGGTGGAACGGTCTGCAAGAAAAACAAATTGTTACAAAACAAATAAATAAGCAATACTTAATATCACAAGAAAATTAATTAACACACAATAAAAATTCCTCACAAACGATGCACGGCGTTGTTGCTTTGTAGGTTCCCATGCATAATTGGGACACATCAAGTACCTTTGTCTATATGTTTCCTCATCTTGAGAGATGTCTACCTTGCAAGGATCACCACAAAAGCACATTGGTCGAGGAACACTTTCAGGGAGAGGCTTTAGGTCGTAGGGATTTGTCCTCTGGCGACCATAGCTACAATTGAAAGAATTTAGTCATATTAACGGAGAACCAAACCTAAACCTAGGGTTTTCTATTTGTTGCACAAATAATGAATAAACATTAGGATTACCTTGGAATACGAGCTTTACCACGCCTTGGCATCCTAACATTACGTAGAAAAAAATCAATCCAAAGTACCTTGCAACGAATGTAAAGCTACTAACACTAAATCACCATACCTCACAAATAAGCTTTTCATTACAAACACTAAGCAAATTTGAATCCCAACAAACACAAAATTTAACTCAATGATTATAAACCAGAACATATAAACAACAACAACAACAACCATACATTTATGTCATTCAATCATTTGAACCACCATACATTGCACGAATGACATGAACATGAACCAAACCTATAATGCCAAGTTCAAAAACAACCGGATCTAAATGGATGAAATGAAAGAGGGGAAAGAGGAGTACCTTGGCAAAACGCCTTGGTTATAAAAAATTGAAATGTAATGACCAACAAATAAATAAAATACATACTAACCCTAATGACCAACAAATAACTAACCCTAATGACACCTACAATAAACAAAGAACCCTAATGACCAAAATAACTAAAATCCAAACTAACCTAACATGTTCAACACATAAAACAGTTAAACAACAATGCACTCAATCATCCTAAGTCATACATTTTGCAAATGCAAACACACAGATACCAAAACACCATACACCCATGATTCCACATGATTAGAGACAATGCAAGCACATCTACGCGGATAGATTGGAGAAGGAGAGGGACCATTACCTCGAGGAAGCTTCGAGAGACAAGATCCGGGCACCTAGAGTCGCATTTGGGGGTTAGAGTTTCGTGGGGGCCGTGGGGGATTTGGGAGCCGGCGGTCTTCAGAATGGAGGGAGGAAGAAGAAGGGGGTCTCGGCGCGGCCTCAAGGGACCAGACCTCGGCGTTGAGTCGGGCCGCGCCGAGGTCTGTGACTCGGCGTTAAGTGACCCCGCGCTGAGCTACTGGGCCACCGTGCGTTGTTGGGCCGCCTGGGCCGCGCGCCGGATGGGGCCAATAGCTCGACGCGCAGTCCAGCCACGCCGAGGTTGGGCCCTTGGCGTTTGCTGACACGACGCCGACGTTTCGGACCCCACGCGCCACCGTGTCGCCGACGACCCTGGTCGTCCGTGACGTGGCAATAGCTCGGCGTCGTGTCAGTCGACGCCGACCCCAATACCTCGGCGTAATGTTCTAAGACGCCTAAAAATGGTCTATTTTCAAAAAACGTTTTGACGTAGGTCTTTTTGTAAAAATTGTTTTTAAAAGAGACCAAAATACAAAAATTTCACCGGCGAACATGCATGGGGCTAAGCGTGTTGCTCGGCGTACAGTATGGTTTAAAGGCTAGCGGAGGTCTGTTGCATGTATTTTTTTAGTTTTTTTAACAACGCAATCAAAACTAGTTTTGGATTACATTTACTTTGTCTAGTAGTTTGTGATTTATGCAGTATGTATGAAAAGCTCAAATGGCTTTTCGTGTTGACTTGGTCGTTGACTGTGAGATCTGTCGTTGACATCATAGTTGACTCTTAATAGTTCAGAGCTGGCGCAATGGAACTCTTAGATCAATTCTAGCCATTTTTTACAATGTAATACTCCCTCTATACTAAAAAATAAAGTCGTTTTAGACAAGACTTGGGTCAAACATTGAGAATATAAATCATGAATAACTTTTAAGTTGTTGAGTCTGGAAATGTGAAAACCATATGTATAGATTTGTCTTGAAAAATACTTTCACAAAAATTTACATATATATATTTATAAAAATAAGTAGTCAAAGTTATGTTTTGGAGACCCTGTCGCTGTCCAAAATGACTTCATTTTTTAGTATGAAAGGAGTATCAATTATTAAAGCATAATATCGTATTCAGAGAAATCTGGTTAAATCATTTTGCATGGTGACTTTTCCTTTCCAACCAGACGAGAGAATTCAGCTTTTCCTTTGAGCAGTGAGAGTTCAGTTGAATGGGTATTTCCCTTTCAAAAATAAAGGTTGAATGGACATTTATGATGGGACCTCGTGTCTATATGGCTGAAAAAGGGAAATCATTTTGAACAGCCCGCTTCGCACAAGCTTCGATCCTTTTCGTCTTTGTACATTCTTATTCCTTTCTAACTGTTGTTAGTCTATTCTCCTCGACAAGTGAGTCATCATTAGCTTAAACGTCAGTCATGTTTTTCAGCCTACTCTCCTTTATTTCTAGGTCTTCAACAATGAAAATTGATAGATCCGTCTTGTGACGCCACACATCAACTCAACGCAAATTTGTCAGGTCTCCAGTTCCTCCTAAAAATGCTCCTTCTCATATGAAGTACTTGCTTCTCTGGTGGAGCTAAAACTATTTTAAAAAATGTCAGGCAAAAACGACTCCAATGTCAGTTTTGTTATAATTTGTGCCAATTCATGAGAAGCCATGTTTTTCTGGCTCCATTTGCCCAGTACAAAAATGACACCACCTTCTCTAGTTTTCTTGGTCGGAGCCGTTTCTTAAATAGTCATTTGGCAAGGCTTCGGCCAAAGCCAGAACTTGAGCAGCTCTAGAAAGCTCGGCAAACGAGCCTTGGTGGCTCTTTGCCTCCTGCAACCTGACTCGCTACCTTGACAAGCTCAATTGGTAATTCTTTGACACCTCTCGCAACCTATGACACCTTGCTCTCGATCACTTCACATCGCCGTCCTCATTTTTCTCTAGGCTAGACTCCAGTGAGCCCTAGCCCCAACTTTATCCTAAGTTGTGTTTGGTTGAAGGAATGGGCTGGGACGGAGCGGGACAATCCAACTTTGAGTGGTGTTTGGTCTCGGCATATGGGAACACAGGACATATCTAAAGGAGAATATTTTCCTAGATTCAAGGACACACCTATCCCCCAAAACCAAGGGATGCGCTCGTCCCTCCGAGGCACCATTCTTCTCCACCTCTTCTCATATGCACGACCCAGGGTCAAGAGAAGGGCGACCATGGCGTCGAGGGTCGAGGGCGAACGTCGGAATCGACAACAAGGGGCCCCTGGGAGTGGCCACCTACTCCTCACTGGGAGGAGTGGCTGGGGAGGGAGGCACCATCCGGGGAGGGCTCCTGCTGAGGAGAGGCCATCGAGGATGGCTGGCTCGGGAGGAAGGCACCATCAGGGAGGTCTCCTTATTGATGAGGGGTCGCTGGGGACGAGTTGGTTCGGGAGAGATGCACCATTGGGGAGGGGACACCGTGCTACTAGGGGGTCGTGCCACCGGAGCAGCCACACCCTTTAACAAGTTGCGCACGGGCGAACGGAAGAGCTCCGGCTTAGTGAGAGCTCCACTGCGGACGAACGTCCTCCGACAACTGTAGTGAATTGGCGAGCGAGCTCCAGGCTTGGACTGGCAGGGTAGCAGGTATCCAAGGCAGCCATGGTGGGTGAGGTCTGGCTGGGGAAATAAGAAGGTGAAACGTCGAATAACATGTGGGCCCCACACTAATGGTTGCTAACGGAATTCATTCTCTACCTCTTTGTCCTCTCAACCAAACAAGAAGACAGTGATGTCCCGTCCTAGAAAATTAGAACGGTATCATCCCATTCCATCATGTCTCTAAATCAAATGCAATCATAGAAGTTGAGAGATGAAGAGGATATGCTGAAAAGGTGGGAAAGAAATTCAGATGCTAGATTCCTGCAAAATGCTCGGGTTAGATGGGCTTCCTCACAGTCATAGCTGCTACGACTACAACGAATCACCGTAGCAAATACCTGAAACAGCTGCTGCCGAGCAAGCTCAAACGAACATGCTGGTGGCTGGATATCCTAGGGCGTGTTTATTTGCCTGTAAGGCAGCTAGAGACAGGCTCTAGAGATACAACGTCGCTTGTTTGTTTGCCTGGGCTTTGTTGGAGTTTGTGCAGCACAGAATCCAAAGCACCCTTGGGCCAGACTAGGAGGAAATGAAAGTGAACTTCGTTTCTCCTAGGCGCGGCTCACTCGGGCCCTGATGCCGGCGATGGTGGATGGTGGGTGTGGCTGACATGTGGGTCCTCCAGCGTAGCGCAGGCAAACAAACAACGTAAGTACTGACCAGGCCCACTAAATACAAGTCCACCAAACAACAAGGAGTTGCACCCATCTAGCTTGTCTGATAATACCCAGGATCTACTCGCCCGTTCAGGCTTGCTCCGACCAGGCAAACAAACGAGCCCCTAAGTTTCTGACTTTTCTTCCTAGATACTAAGGCCCCGTTTAGATGCGAAAATTTTTGGCTTTTGGATATTGTAGCACTTTCGTTTGTATTTTGCAAAAATTGTCCAATTATGGACTATTTAGGCTTAAAAGATTCGTCTCGCCAATTACGGGCAAACTGTACAATTAGTTATTCTTTTTACCTATATTTAATGCTCCATGCATGTACCGCAAGATTTAATGTGACGGGAAATCTTGAAAAATTTTAGATTTTAGGTGAGATCTAATCAGGGCCTGACAATGCCAACCATCCACGCAGTATTTTTTCTAGCTGTAATTTTGTATCAACATCTGGCGCCCAAGTTAATTGTTGACAGTGAATACCATGCGCTAGCGAAGTTCCATCCATATCACACGCCAAATCATCCAGCACAGAAATGAAGAGTAACAGCCACACTAGCTACTAGTAATACTCTAATCTAGCATAAGCATCCACCGGCACAGCAGGGATTATTGCCACAGGACGGGCATCGGCATCCTCCCTTGTACCTGGAGCAGGAGCACACGCAGCCGCAGGAGCACTCGGGGCACGACGGCGCCGCCGGGGCAGGGGCACTGAGGCACGAACCGCGGCAGCACTCTCCCGTGCCGGTGCCGCGGCAGGACGACCCTGCCTCGCAGCACGACGACTGGCACTTGCAGCAGGAAGGTCGCATCCCGCTGCAGCACGACGACAGGCAGCCGAGACACCGGTTGAGGGCGCCGAGGCAGCCGGCCGAGCACCCCGCACAGGAGAAGCAGCCGGTGCAGCACGGGGGACAGGAGCAGGAGCACGGGCAGCCCGCGCAGCTGCAACGACTAGGACAGCAGCTGCTGCACTGGCACTGGGGTCGGCAATGGCCGCAGCCTGACGGCTTGCAGCTGCAGCTGGGAAGGCTGCAGGTGCAGCAGCCGGGGCTGCAGCAGCTGCTGCTGCTGCACGAAGGGGTCTTTGGACAGCTGCAGGTCGGCGGAGTACAGCACTGCGTGTCGCGGCAGGTGCAGCAAGAGCAGCTGAAGCAGCACAGGCATGAAAAGCATGTGCGCAATTTTGATCTGCACAAGATTTCGTTTTTAATGAATTTCTAACAGTTCACCTAGTATGCAAGAAATGCTGTAACCAATGTTAGTACTCTGAGAGGGCAGCATAGCCACTTTGCAAAAATGTTTCAAATTGGCCTGGTGGCTTGAACTTATCCGAGGAGTCACTTTGCCAGTGTTATATACGCCTATGTGCTTGATGCTTCTAAATTCTATTGCTACTTATCAAAACTCAGTTCTTTAATTTTAAACACAGTGAGAGAAAAAACAGATCTATAGCAACAGTGTATAGATTAAACAAGAACCTTTTAAAGGGCTTTGCTTTCATGATAAATGCTATTGTATTCAAAAGTAATGTTGATTTACATGTTGGAGCAGGAACATAGCATCAAATTACTAGACCCCTATTGTATTGGTTTGTGGTGCTACTTCAATTGATGGACTGTTTACTAGTTCAGTGGTTCATCGTATCTTCATCAAATCATTATAGTCGTTTTCAGTGTTACGAAATTTGAAACAAGCAATTAAAAAAAACTTGAACATTCCTGCCTGCCCATGAATTCAAAATAGTCTTCTAGGGATAAATGAAGTACCTGATCCACCTGGAGAAGCTGCAAGATCCATGTTTCCTTTTGCTTCTGCAAGTAGCGAGGTCAGCATATAAAAAGACACTGATAAGCAGCATCAACGCATGGTTCTGCTGGCATGAGAGAATCAAGTTAAGAATTCATACACTGGTATCATTGGATCGGTCTTTGCACTGACAAACTCGTTGACACTGTCAAAAATTATTGGAAAGCATAACAACTTGGTGAGCAAAAACATCGGTAATCAAAGATACACAGGTATATTTCCTCAAAAAAAAAAAGATACACAGGTATAATACTATTGTTGAATACCTTTTTTTTTAAAAAAAAAGAGTGAACTGGCACAGGACCTACCTATTGTATTACATTATTACAGTACTAATATGTTCATTTCTTGATACACTAGCATTTATCCTGCAACCTCAAATAGGAATATAAATATAAATGGAATCTGAGCAACAGTCCAAATGTGGAGTATCAGAGAACCAGGACAAAATACAATTATTACACAAAGCAAACGTTCAAGAAAACCACAGTATGCCTGTCGCTGTTCATGTGAGTCTGTTTTCTTTCAAGGGGAATGTGTGGGGTCAAGGAATATCGAGCCACAAGGGAAGATATTTCCTTCTTCTTTTTTCTATTTTCTTTCTCGTGACAAATAAAGTGGTAAATACCAGAACATCACCACTGTAACTGCACATTTCTTAATATCAAGAGCAATATATAATTCTAAAATGGAATAACAGAAAACAACACTCTGCTATTTTTTTTAATTAAAAAAAAAGAGTAGCCTTGACTTGACTTAAGGGGGCGTTTAATTAAAAAAAAGAGTAGCCTATTTTTTTTGTTTTTATTTGGTAATAATTGTCCAATCGTTGACTAATTAAGTTCAAAATGTTCGTCTCGCAAAGTACAACCAAACTGTGCAATTAGTTTTTGATTTCATCAACATTTAATACTTCATACATGTACCGCAAGTTTGATGCGACGGGGAATCTTCTTTTTGCATAGTGTCAAAGTTGGAAATTTGATGGAACTAAACAGGGCCTAAGCATGAAAATAGCAAGAGCACGAAGGAGCAGAGGATGGTCACTTGCCCATCGAAGCCAAGCAAACAATCATAGCAAGATGGTGGTAACTGTAGGTTTCCAGTTCCAGACGAGAAAAAGCGGAGAGCGGCAGAGAGAGAGAGAGGATTGTGATTACTCTTTGCAACATCGCGAGACTGGCTGAATCCGCTCGAGTCCCTGTATCTCTTGCTGCAAAAGGCGAGTAGTCCCCGTCAGTCAGTCTGTCAGTCAGGGCCTGCCTCACGACGCAGCAGGCAAGCATGCAGTGCCGCAGGCCGAGACATGGTTCGTGCAGTGCAGGTGCAGCGCTGCTCCGTCCATGTGCCATGAATGGAAGCGGCAGTATGCTATGCTCCACCACCCATTCATTGCCTTGCCGTGCCGATGCAAATCCGAGCAGCAGAGATCTGAGACGATGCAGCGTGGCAACACCGCAGCAGACACTAGAAACTAGGAAGCAGAAGAATCTGTACTCGTACTCGGCAAATGCATGATGAGCATCATGCCTAATTATACTGATATATTATAGTAATATAAACTCAGATCTGGTTTAAATTGTAAATTTTTACAACCTAAACACTGAAGTACGTTTTATTTGTATTTAATAAAATTTATCCAATTATAGAACTAACTAAGCTCAAAAAGATCTATTTCGTGATTTATAATCAAACTATGTAATTAGTTATTTTTTTTTCCTACATTTAATGCTCCATATATACGTCCAAAAATTAATGTAATGAAAAAAAATGAAAAAACTTAAAATTTGGAGGTGATCTAAACAAGGCTTAAGCCATGAGCATCGTTGGCTCATGGCCACCCCTTTCCTTAGTATTATAGCAATTTCTTGGCGAGGACAAGACTTCCTTCCATCGATAAACGGAAAAGAAAAATCTTGGGACAAAACCCAAGGTGAGGTGACCATGCCCATCAGCCCGTGGGTGATCAAAAGTCCCAGGGGTACCGTACGGCGCGGCACGTCGGAGGAGCAGGGGAGGGACACGCTTTTGTCGCCTCGAGCCTCGCGACGAACTCTCACTCTCAGTGCCCCGAGACCCGAGAAGGAGGTCGTCGCATCGACAAACTTTTCCATGAGATTTCCTCCGGTCCCTATGCGCAACCTCGCATGGGATGGAGACATTAAAAGAAGAATGGCCACACACGCACGCGACGCGACCATTAAGCCTTGTTTAGTGGGGTGAATTTGGATTTTGAAGGTACTATAGTATATTCGTTTTTATTTGACAAATAGTGTTTAAACCTAGACTAATTAGGCTCAAAACGTTTGTCTCGTAATTTTCCGCTAAACTGTGCAATTAGTTTTTATTTTCGTCTATATTTAATACTCTATATACAAACCGCAAACATTCGATGTGACAGGTACTATAGCAATTTTTTAGACTTTAAGGTCCAACTAAACACGGCGTAAAACAAGAATGGAGCAACAAAGAAAGAAAAGCGATTGGTGCGTGCGTACCTCGAGGAAGCCGACCTCCCGGTTGAGGATCTGCACCTCGAGCTGCAGGCGGCGGCGGCCGCACAGGTCCGGGTACCTCGGCGGCGACTTGGGCTGCGGCGCTTCCCCCATGGCGGGTCGCGCGCCCGCCAACTTATCGACCAACGGCCGAACCAGACAGACCCTACGAAACGAGGCGGCCTAAGCTATGGGCTGGAGGAGAGCTATCTACTCCTAGCTGCTGTATGCGGCCGCGAGCTAGCTAGCGCGGGTCCGGCCGGCCAGGGGAATGTGCCTGTGCCGCTGTGCGAGAGAGAGAGAGAGACAGCCTGGGCCTGGGAAATGGGAAGGAAGGGTGGCGGCCGACGGCTGTTTATAAACCGGCTCGGGTCGGGCCGTCGGGGCGAGAGGGGTAGCGCGCAGGTGGGGGCGACGGGGGAGCGTCTGGCGGTCTGCGCGAGCTGCAGCTGCGTGTGGTGCTCGGCGGCGAGCCGGGGACCCCGCGCGCGCGCGTGTACTTGCTAGTGGCAAGGCCAGGGGCGCGTTGCGTTGCGTGGTTCGTCTAGGCTCGGCGCGGCTTCGTGCTCGTGCGCGTTGCAGGATGGGCACGTTGTGTTGTGGCCGGAAGCAAAGCATGCAGCAGTGCGTACGGGACAGTGCTCAGTTGTGTCATCGTCGGGCATCAGAAACCGCAGACCGCGCGGAGCCGCCAACCCCGCTGCGCGCTGGGGGCGTACGGGCATCGAGATGGAGATGGGTGTTTCAGGATACAGTACATCTCGGTTTTTTCAATTTCCGTACGGGGTTCAGTTCATATACTGCGCGTGTTCCACCGGGACACAACCTTAGACTGTCTCCGCGTAGGCAAACGACGACCCAAATCTAAAATACATTGTGTATAGTGTTTTGCGTCCCAAATCCACGCTCCAACGGAGGACGCATCCAAACATCAATTTTGCGTACCAGCACAACTCGGAAGGCAAAAAAGCGTTGTCCCTCTCCACAATGCAAAACATTGTAGGCGTCAGGGTGGAGCGAACGACGACGGTGAGGCGCGCCTGCACCTGGAAGCTCCGCGCGGGGGAGGTTGCGTCCGCACCGTCGGTGGAGGTTGCCCCTGCTGTCCGGTCCGCACTTGCCCTTGCTCGTCGGTCCGCGCCGCCGGGGCTGGCCTGGATCTCGCCAGTCCGCGCCGCATGCAGGGAGGCGGCGTCGACTGTGGGAGGTGCTCCCGCCGAGACAGGCTACGCCAACGCCCGGCGAGCAGCCTCAAGGTAGGGGGAGGGGGAGCGCTCGTCTACGTCGTCAGTGAGGGAGATCTCATCCCATCACATGGATTTAGACCTACCGGTGGAGGGGAAGAAGGGGGCGGCATCAGGGGAGAGAGGGGCCGGCTCCGGTTGCGGCGGAGCACCGCAGGATCCCACGAGCGACGACCCGGTGGCACGTCGCGCCCCGAACGACCCGCCGCCACCGGGGGCGCACTGCAGCGGCGCTGCCCGCACGCCGGCCGGCGACTGAGCCAAGCTCTCCAGCTGAGGAAGGGAGGAGCACGGCGGAGGATGAGGTGGGGACGCGGACTCCGGCGCCGTCGTTGTTTGGCCTTGGCGGCGCCCTTGGATTTGGCCCCCTTCATAGCGGATTCGAGCGGCTACATGGAGCGCAGCGGTCAGATCCGCGCAGGGCGAAGCGAATCCCGCTCGCGGGCGGGCGAAGCTGGGACGAATCGAGGGCGAGTTGCCTCTGGCGGCCCGCGGGGATGGGGAGGGACGGGAGGGGAAAGGGGGGAAGGGAGGCGACGGACACTGCAAGAAGGCGGGTGGGGGGGGGACAGGCGCAGGGGATCTGTTGGAGAAGGCTGAGATTTGGGTCCGTGACCTTTTCACTGTAGATGACCTATACTGTGAATGGGTATCGTGTTTAGATTGTTTTTGTTGGAGACAGTCTTACTAGTACTCCCTCCAGAGACAAAGTCGTTATGGTACATGTGTAGATTAAACTTTCTCAATTTTGATTGGGGTTGTAGAAAATACGTACAACATTTATATCTCTAAATAAGTTTATTATAAAAGTATATTGAACAATCTATCGAATAATACTAATTATGTGTTATAAATATTAATATTTTTTATATATAATTGGTTAAAATTAAAAAAAAATTACCAGGAAGGGAGAACGACTTCTGTTGACTCTACTATTGTACGTACTGTGTGCTCGCTAGCAGGAGTAGCCCCCTAGAGGTCCTAGCCACTACTACAAAAAGCATTTTTAGGGGCGGCTGGTAACCCTTTGTAGGGGCGGTTTGGTCAGCCGCCTCTACCGAACCGTCTCTACAAATCATGCATTTGTAGGGGCGGTTCCCAGGCCGCCCCTACAAATCGATTTATAGGGACGGTTGGTGATTGAGCCGCCCCTACAAATATTTGTAGGGGCGGTTGGTATTACGAACCGCTCCTACAAATCTATTTGTAAGGGCAGCTCAAGAACCAACCGTCCCTACAAATCTATTTGTAAGGGCGGCTGTAGTGCCAGCCGCCTCTATAATACCTATTTGTAGGGGCGGTTCAATCTAGAACCGCCCCTACAGTACGTTTTTTCGCAAAAAAATTCAAATTTACAATTCAAATTCGACCAGAACTGTTTGTTTCTGCGTATTCCATCCAAAGATCCGCGTTCTTGTCAACGCCCATGACCAACGTTTGAACCGCGTTCATGTTGCCGAACATACACGCCGACCAACGTTCGAACGCGACTACAAGCACAATAGTATTATATAAAGTACAATTACAAGTCCAATTAAATAATGATATATATATATACAATCCATCATTAAATATACAAATTTCATACACATTGTTATCAACGTCCTAGAGCTAGCCTTTCAGTCTCACGAAGGTGTTGGTACTGAGGATTTGTACCTAAGTCAGACTCTCGATCATGGTAGGCGCCTCTGACGTGTACAATCTGGTCTAATATGAAGTTGCAAAGGTCGCCGACGAGCTCTAAGAGTTGGTCATCCTTGTATGGGTCTCTTTTCATTCCTTTCTCTTCTCTCCACTACAAGAAAACAAGTTTCAGTTTAGTATTTCATACCATTTATGAAGTTTTTATACTACGGGTGAAGAGGTTCAAACTTACCCTTAAGGGGTGTCTCCTGTAGACACCGGTGTTACTCATCATAGAACATATATAGTATCCACAATGTACACTCCCAGGCCTCTGCTTGGGGCACTGTGTGTTTTGCATATGAAAATATTAGGTAATGCTTTTGACAGCCATGTAACGGAGTACTGAAGAAGTAAGTTACACTTACCGCACATAGTGTTTTTATAGCTAGCTTTTTCTTCCTCGCTGGATCATGCCTTTCGTGATGATGAGAGACATAGAACCTAAATGCCCTGTTCGAATTATTTTAGCAAATACAACTTGTTAGTATGCATAAGTGAACGTTACAAGTATGTATACAGACATATAAGCTAATGAGGATTGTCGATATGTATACGTCTTGAGAATCGATATGAAGTCTTTGTATGTCGCCGGGTCCTTATCTATTGAATCAAAGACCCATGCCATGCTCTTCTCGACATCGACGGCTATACAAATCCAGTGGTTGCTGCATGGATTTAATCATAGAACTAGATAAGCTCTTTTACATCGAATAAAATATATCGAACATAGCTTTAAGTTATAGTTGAACTTACTCGAAGTTGTATGGTAGCCATATAGTAGAGTGTTGTTGGAGATTTTTGAAAGCCAGAGCAATGTATGCCGCAACCTTAAGGGACTCTTCCCTTAGCTTCGCACTACGGATGCGCTCTTTCTCCCGAAGAGTCTTTGCAGCTGCTAGCTCTTTGGCATCCAGTGTCCACCGTTTAGGGTAATTAAAATTTGTTTGGGCTATAGCTTGAGGGTCTACATACCCGGCTTTCACACTTGGCATTTGTTTGACAATGTGCACTTGCATTCTACAAATCACGGCGTGGGTTAGTTACAACAAAATTAAAAGATTACATTCATATCATATCGGGAGGACATGGACTTACAGGCACTACGTGCGAATTAGATTCATCTCCATTTCTCCCAGGTGAAAGCATGTGTGCATGTCATTGAAGTCAAAGACAATTTTCCCGGCTGGGCTTCCAAATGTGCCGGTGGGAAAGCATGCTTGTATGATATCTATGCTCGTTGGGAGAACACGCAAGTACCAATCATGGAACCTTCTCATTCCAAGTGGTAGGCGCTGGATGTCCCGGTTTTGTAGGAAGGGCTTGCCTCTTTCATATTTTTTCGGGCAATCCTTTGACCATTCGATGGCATCAACATTTGGATACTGCTTTGCAATTTGGTGAAGTTTTTACTCTTGGGCCTCCTCGTAACCCCGTGATGGGACTTTTTAACTTGGTTTTCGTGCTTGAACCGATCATAGGAATACCACTTGGACACCGACGAGACGTCTTTGATCGAAATATAACCGGCCTTATGTGGATTGGAATCTTCTTTCGAGTTCCCATTCGAGCACGTCCTCATCTTCTTGTGCATCACCTTCTTCAGAGGCACTTTCGTTGTTCATGTATCGGTTGTGCTTGTTGAGAAGACTGTGGCATCTCATGATGCACTTGCCCTGCAGACGAGCCAAGAAGGTTGTGGCATCTCATCGGGCACATGCTCGATAGGAGGCGGGGAAGAATGTGGCATCTCAGGAATGTGGGGGTCACGAGACGGTGAAAATATCTCCCCGGCCTCAACAACTCGCTCCAAATTTGGGAGAGGGGGAGGCGGCGAAGAAGCAGTCAATATAATGTCCCGTTTGTGCTAGAGGATGAACTGCCCCATAACGTCTCCGAGTAACACCAGCCCCTCGGGAGTTGCGTAGTCTATTCTCTACTGCATGAACTCGGGCTTCACTGTATGCACCTCGACCCTAGTGTAGTCCGGCGGTATGTTATTATTGTGGTGTAAGCCACCGGGAGGATGTGCAACACCCGTTACCACCTCCATCACAAAGTTCTTACGCGTCACCGAGAAACACCAAAGGTGCAACTAGTAGGTTCCCGTATGAGATCGACTGAGGTTGTGGCTGCAGTGGAACCTTGGCTGCTAGGAACTTTCGGAGGGCTGCCAACTAATGCCAG